GTTGATTGTTCAGAATTTGACGAATAAGAAATACTTAAAGGATTAAATGATTGTTGTTGACTTAAATCAGAATTGGGTTCAGTTCCTAGTGTAATTGGAACATTAATATGAAAATTAGTAAATATTCCTTCAACTTTAACTGTAAGTTTAAGCATATAATAAATATGAACGAAAATGTTTGGGTTTTCTCGTTGAAATTTATATGAAGGAGGAAATCGTATAGTAGGAATTTTTATCGAAAATCTTTCCATTATATGTTCATTTGTTAAATTTACAATTTTTGGTAATATAGTTTTATATACAATACATTCATCGAATTTTTTTTCAATTTGATAACATTTTAATATTGAAAGATTACTATGTAGAATTAAAACTTTTCGTGGATTTTGAATTTCTAATGTAAATTGAATATTTTCACCAGAAACATATCCTAATTTATTAAAAGTTGCCTTTAATTTAATATCTGTTCTATTTTCGAATTCGAATATAGATGGTGATAAACATTGAGGATTTTCTAATAAATTAACACGTGGATGTACTGTTAAATATTTTTTATATTTTATATTTGATGTATACCATGATTTATCAATAACAACTTGTAAAAAATATCGAACACGTGGAAATATATCAGGTTGATTGATAGCTGGTGGAAGATTATCAATTAATGGAATTTGAAATAACCATGCATAACGTCCACGATCATAAATAAATTCTTGTTGTGTTATACTAGGCCCAGATAAACTAACTTTTTTATAATAAAATTGAATCTTATAATATTCATTTCGTGGTAAAGATCCACCTTTACCATTTGAAACAGATCGAGTTGTTGTATAACCAATTTCACCGATCAGATTTATGTATATTTCACGTGTTTCTAGATTTTCTTCTGTAATATTTAATCTAACTATTCCAGATACAATTTCATCAGAATAATAAAACAAATTATTTCGGTCAAAATCAATTGTAATTGCACTACTGTTATCATTGCCCATATTTTATTTATTTTATTTTCAGTTACACTCTCTAATATATATATATTAGTTTTTTTCTCGTAAGTATAGGTCGGAGAGATGAATCAGCGAAATGAGATATTATTATTGATTTGAAGTCGTTAGAGAATAAGCACCAGTGATGATGACAGACATTCCAAACATTTAGTTCTAGTAATATTACGACCAATGAAACACTTAGATATGAGTCATTTCATGGTGATGTCAGATATTTTCCATGTCAACGTGTACGGCTAACGAGTACTAATTTTAGAGGCTAGTAATGAGACCATGGTAGAATCGACAACACTGATTATCTGAAGGTCTGTCATTTTTTATACATATTCAATGTTTTCTAGTGTAATTTTAATGAAAATAAAGATTTCTTTTCTAGATTAATTTATAGATTTCGTCTCTTTTGATATTTTAGAATTGATCGAAAAAAAACTTTAACACTGAATAATGTCTAACAAAAAATAGTTTATTAATACATTAAAAAACTGGTGTTAAATTTTTTATATTAATTTTTTGTAAAATTAAGCTGTGTCTTACTTTTTTTTGAGTTGAGTGTTTTATATATGTTGTAGTTTTTTATAACAAAAAAAGAATATTCGTACTTTTAAAATTGCTGCTGTTTTTAACTTAATGCGAGCTTAGTTTTTTTTTTCATTTAAGTTTCTTATTTGATTGTTATGATTTTCTGTGTATGAATAATGATATTCTTAGAATTGAGAGGAATATATTTTATTAAAAATAGTGAAAATGAAAAGTTAACGGAAATGTATAACTTCATCATTAGTGACATTGAGCGAACAATGATGGGATTCGGTTGCATTTTGTGGAACCGAATAAAGTGAAAATGCCTGAAAACTTATAATGATTTGATGCAGTCTTCGATCTCTGACTCCCTGCGTAGACATAAATGTACTACGAATGGTTCAGATAGAAACACTTTACATAGTTTGCTTTTGGCGCATTTTGAAATAAATTTAAAATCTGTTTTTGAGTTGATTATATGCAGAAAATGCAGTTTTTGGAACAGAATTTTCTTATTCACACGAATGTAGAAGGCTAGCAATTGTGCGCGCATTTAATAGTGATCTCTCGTTTTTCTGCAGGCTTCTACTGCTAAACGTATGTTGATATCCATCAAGTTTTATAGGATGTAGCTAACTATGTTTTCTTTTATCATTATCGTCAGCTGTGGCAAAGCTGGCAGTAGTCTACATTTTACACGCAGAAAAAAGGTATATTTGAAAACAAGGTCAGCAGTTTTGTAGAGCAAAATATTCAGTGACAAAATGAACCAAAAGTCAAATGTCAAGAGACGTTCTGTTTGCCTTAAAGCAAAACAAAAGTGTTAAGTTCAATTAGTGCTAATAAACACTCGAAGAACTCAAACACATCAAACGAACAGAACAGTTTTGCTTCAACTTTAAGTTAGCAATCGTTTCCACTATAGCCAGTAATTCACTAATCAGTGTTGAGCGAAGCTCCTATAGTGACAAGAAAATATAGCAATACAATGCACCTTGAAGTGAGAAATTAATTTTACTATTGTTTATTTATCTATAGATCATTTAGAAACTCATGATTTGTATAGCATTTCATGAAGTAGTATAGGATTTCAAAATAATCAGGATATTCGACTGACTTCACTTTCATTGATCTGTAATTATATTGTCTTGCAAAGTTGTTTGAATTTTATTGTAGATTTTACCCCATTGACGCTGTTTAATTTAATTGTATTTCGGCTAGTCCGTTCAGAACATAATAAGAGACACTTGACTTTCATTTTTAGAAGGACACGAACTACATCTATGGTGAAATGTTCAATAAGATCGGGCTCAAAAAATTCTCCTCATAGAAAAAAATTGACTCTTTAAACGTCCTATCAAGTTCTGAAACAAAAGCTTTTGTCTTATGATAATATAAAGGATTGACCGACATTTCCGCGCCGATGTTTCAGCACTGACATTACCGCGGACGACACATTCGCGCAATGACATATACGCGCGTGGACATTTCCGCGCATTCCACTATTTCATTAATAATTATCTGACGAATTTTTTTCATACATTTAAATCAGTATATGTTTTGTTAATGATAAAGAATTTATTAAAGATAAA